ACGAGCTTTAGCAGGAGGGCGAGGAGCTGTTCCCGCGCCCAGCGGCTCCCCCTGTGCAGTGGCGCTGCCAGCAGCGCGCGGCCGCTGCTTGGAGGACAACGGGGCCGGCACACCCGTGTCCCAGCCGCCTGGCTTCCAGTTGCTGGGAGCAGACCCAGGCACAAGAAACGCACCCACCCTGCCTACAGCCCCTATTGGCGTTAGGGAGCCCGGCCCGCCCCACGCAGCATCCCGCACATTTGCCTGTTTTGGGGATGTTGCTGATGGTATTTTTCAGAGGCACTAAGCACCAACAGTCAAAATAACCCATGATACACCTTCACAAAGCACAGAGACTGTATAATTTTTACTTTGAAATAATAATGCAAATGAAGTTACATGTCTATATTGTGAAAAGGGATTTTTTTGTCTGTGTGTCTTTTTCCATTACATAAATTTTCATCTTCTGAAGAAAGAATGGCTTGCACATCTTACATGAACACATTTCACAGCTGAACAGGAAATGACTAGCATTAACCATTTCAGCTGCCTTATTACCTTAAATATCTGGAACACCTTTTTTAATGGAAGCCAACCACAAAAACACTGCCGTGAAAAACTATGAATGGAAACTTGTATTTCTCCATTTGTCAAGAGGAACTGTGACTGCAATCAGCTTAATCGCAGCAGGAATTAACAGGGTTCCTCTGTGGAGCTAGCAGACTTTCTGATCAGAGAATATAAATACAGAGAAAGTTATACTCATGTGTGAAGATCTGATAGCTACACAATATTCTGTGTATAGTGAAGAAAATTACTTTTATGAATTCATGGCATGTTTCTATAAAAATGCAGTAAAGAAAATTGAATGTACTGTGGGATATTTTTCTATGAAAATAATGGCCATGCGGTCCTTTAAAAAAGATTTCTCCTAAAATAAAAAGTCTCCATCACTGCACATCCCAGATCTCACAGAGAAGAGGTGTGAATTTGTGATCATTCACTCTCCATGACATCAGCATCTCTGCGTGATGATGGTTAAATGTCCGTAATTCTGTAAGACGACCCAAAAGACATGCAAAGTGTTGAGGGTTATCTGGGTGGTGAAGTTTGCAGAATTTCTGTAGAATATCCAGCAGGGGTTCTTGAAGCCTTTCCACTGACTCTCTGTCCTTTATGTACTGTCGATCTGGTAATGGTTTTAAAAGAAAAGAAGTAATTAGCAAATACTCTGATACAATGTCAATATTTACACTGATAAATGAACATTAAAATATTCAAATATTTGCACTGGGCACTGATGCTTACGCCTACCAAGAATATTTATTTTCAAATTAGGGGACAATAAAAATGCTTAACATTGTATTTTTGATAGGGGGTTTTCATGAAGGCTTCCCACTTCTAGCTAGGGAAAACTATCAACTTCTTCAAAAACTGAAGAGTTTTAACTCAGAAATGTTTCTCTGCGGTTTTATCATCATTTCCCAATGCAGTCTGCCCCTGAGTCAGCCCTGTGATGCACTGCAACAACTGAGCAGCACAGCATAAGTTCCTGAAGGTGGAGTACAACTGGTGAATTTGCCTGGTAGAGAAGAGTGTACGTGCAGATCACCAGGGACAAATCAAACATCTTCATCCTCAGATGAAATTTCTTCATTAGAAAATACTTGTCTTTTTATTTTGTTCATATGGAAGTATGTGTTTGGGTATTTGGAGAGGGGGAAAGAGAGGAGGATGGGGGTTTTGTCACTGAAATTTTCAGCATAAAAAAAATTTCCTGAGCCATACTGACTCAAAGAGTGATGGAATTGCTTCACCTTCCCATCTCCTGTGAAACCTTATTTGGAAACCTCCGTCTGTCTTTTGTCCTGAAGCATCAGGCTTCCCCCATTCCTATCATGGTGATTTTGTTTGAGGCAATATACAATTTCTCTGTATTTTGTAGGCAAAGCTGTTTCTGTGTTGTTAAAGAATTAGTCTTTATAGCAAAGCCTGTAATCAGGGCTATTGCTGTTATCCCAATACTTCTGAAAGGTCAGTTTCCAACACTTTGTAGTCAAGAGGGCAACTTGCTACTGTCCTTCTGCTCTTGACAGCTGGTGTTTGTTCAGTAAAGGCTGAAGACTTTCACTGCCATTCTCTGTTCTAAGTTATAGTGTTTCCCAATTCCCCCTCTAAAAAATGTAACATTCCACAACGGTCTGTAGTGATGTGCATGTAGCCACCTCTGGGATTTTCTGAAGGAAGAAGCCTGTTGTACTAAGCAGTGAAGATATACCAGTAATGTTTTTAAACAGGGCATTTATGCACTTTTCTTCCTTGTATGCAAAACCAGATGGTGTAGCAGGACATTGGGAGTTTGGATTTTTGTGCTTGTTTTCTGGTTTAACTATTGAATATACTGAATATGCATGTACATTCATTTACTTTCACAGAATGTAAGTCTCAGGTCATACTCCTCAAACTTTCTTTCCAAAACCACTAATATTTAATTTTGGATGAGAAGTTACCTGGCGACAGGATAACTATGGCTGTCAGCAGCGCATATTCTTCCTGTGTCATCTTCAACTCTCCAATACTTTTATGAAAATTAAACATGGGAGTTATGAATTCATCTGAGATACCTGTGAGAGAAAAAGAATGTTATTTTGAAATTACTGACATAATCTGGTTTATTGCTATAGAGCAATTATTTAGTATTTGAAACCTTGACTGTCTTGGTAGGAGAAATTTGCTACACAAATGAGGCCTGATGCAAGACAATTAGTTTCAGAAGTGCAAGCACATTCTTGTTTTACAGATCAGAGTAGAAACAGGCAAGCACTGGCAGTTTATTTTTGTATGGTTTCAAGGTCTGTCTTTCAAGCAATTCTTTTTCTGCTACAGATTTGTCTCTGTCTAGCTCTCCAGGACAAGTCTCATGTGAGTTTTTCTTCCTGTCTGCTAATATTCTAGCTGTCTTCTGTTTCCAGGATGCACAGTTTGCGAAACAGTCCCCATGTTTCCTATCTTTACATTAGTTATATGGAAACCTCTCAGGGTGTATGGTTTAATTCTAGCCTAACTCTAAAGCTAACTGCCTTGGGCAGTTGCTTCAGTTGTCTCCATAAAGAGACTTAATTGCTGCTTTTATGTAGCCTGAAACTTTAGCTAGGTCTAGGTTTACCTGTAGTCCAAGATCAACTTGCTTGCAATTACTACTACCTTAAAGCATAAACTAGTGTTATTATAAAGTACAGAGCCATAAATAATTAAAATCCATCCCAATTTAAGGATGGGATCATGTGATTCTCTCACCATCAGCGAAACCCTTTGGGGTTACCAAACTGCGGCATGCTGATGGGGCTTCCTCTTACCGACTGTGTCATTAGGTCACGATGTTCTTACTTAGCCTTAAATTACAGACGTACTCCATTCTGCTTTTTGGTGTAAAAGAGAAGTAGGTCCTGTGACATCAAATGATTTTTATTTTAAATAGTGTGTGAGTCACTCAGAGCAGCTACTAGACAGTTGGCAATGGCTGCTTGCAACTCTGAACCGGTCTAGATATCCAGACCAGTGGTTCTGGAGCAAGAGACTTTTGGCCTTCCTTAGCTGAAAGGATGGAAACCTCTTTTGTTCCTGCAGCTGAGGGCCATAGGTTTTCTTGTCATTTTACTCTTAATTTTGGGCTGTTCTAGGAGAAGCCTTTGTAACTTGGTGTGGAAACTGCACGAAATAATGCAGTTTTGAGCGGTGTATGTAACACAAAGCTGAAGTCCAGGACTGATGAGGTTTGGAGTGCCTCCAGTAGGGGAAATTAAAAATGAAACTCAGCAGGTGGAACTCAAAGAAAGGAAACATGAAGTCACTTGATTTAACTACAAGACACATTTTGCTGTGACAGTGAGAACTTAACTTTAATCAGTGGAATAGATTTGTGTCCCAACAGTGAAAGTATGGTCTTGCAGGGTTTATTTTGTGGCTGAACCATGTGTTTAAACACGTGGCATGAACTATCTGTGTTCACTTCAGATTACAAACCACGAATCTTGTTTTTGTAACAAGTTCAACATTATTGAGAAGAGTCTAAGATTAAGTTAATTAAGAAGATATATATATATGTGATGTAGGTCAGCTCATCCCGTGGCAGGAGGTAACACAGCTGGAGTTTTACACAGAGCAAACAAGAGTCATATAACACTTGTTATTGCTAACTTTTGGGGAACCGCCTGTCTCTCTCTTGGGAAGTTTTAAATGCCAGA